TTTCACGTATCACTTGCATGTATCCATGCCTGTTGCTCAAGGTTCTAGCAGAGTACGATCTACAGCTGTGCGCCTGTAGTAAAAGAGACTCCTGTGTGCCTGTGTTCTTGTACGCCTTAGCGAGGGGATACACGCCCAGGTTACATCTCAACGAGGGGAGGGAGGGGTGTGTATGCGTTGACATTGAGCTTTGCATCGGCTCCTTGTGGATCTGCTCTGGTAAGCTTTGAGTGCCAGCATCTGTTGGTTTTCGAAATACACAGGAAAGAGCAGGTTAGGTACAGAGATCATTATGGGCCTTGTGCTTGATTCTCGTAAGATTCTTTGGGCGCGGGATTACCCTGTCACAGCGATGGGTCAACTTGCGATCTTGAACAGCCCGGGCAAACCAGGTTCACAGGAATCCAGAAATTCCTGTGAATCTCAGGTCCCAGCAAAGGTCACCACTTCCATCGCCACAACAGAGCCCATGGCAGGTGCCATCAGCGGATGGAAAATCCGCGCCACAGTCTGGTCACTGTTTGTTTCGAAAGCTTCGTTCCACTTTTTGATCTGCATGAGCCACTTCACATAGAAGTACACAGACAGGATGCCCCAAAGACGGCTGATCCAATTGCCGAATATCGAATACGGAATCCAGCCCAGGAGGGGTGCCTCCAACACTTGACAGAGCGCGAAGATCTGAATGGAAATGCCAACCCAGAATTTCAAGACCACGTCTTGATTGCGAATCGTCCTGGCCAACAAGAAACCACAGAACAGAAAAACAAGGTGAAAGGACTTAGTGACCCAAAGATAGCACATGGACGGAGACGAGCAGATCCTGAGTCGCTGCATGCCGGTAATTAGTATCACAGCACTCAAGACCACGTTGAAGACCACTTCTGCATGGCTCGCTTGGCGGCTACCTTTGGCCAAACGAACCTGAGAACCGTTAGACAAGGCTCTATGTCTGCACACGGTCGCACGGACTCCAAACGAGATGCCCATATATAATTGCACTGAGGAGCTGTGGTCCAGATGCTCCCTGCCAGAACAGACAGCACACCGCTCACGCCATGCACTGAGAATAGGTACCTCGGTTGCAGTTGACCGCGCGGAAGTCATGTGCCAACGTGATATGAAATCATTATGCCAACTGTGCCATGATATGCCATGGCAATCCTGAATTGTGCCTTCTGACAGTTGAAGGCACCCGTGCTAGCACACGCCACACACGAACAAACACGTGCAGATGGATCAACAAGGTGACCGACTGCATGCTAAATTCCAAAACCCCCTTGTCCGTCTCTTACCCTTCATGAGTAATTATTATCCCCTGAATTTCTATGAACATCCACACCTGTTATTGGAAGTTGTATATCTCCTGTTGAATGTGTGAAATCTAACTTACCAAACACTGCTAGAAACCGAACATGTAACTGTTTCAGCGCCAGTAGTACAGGGATAGGGACACTAACGAAAATACAAAATACAAACAAGGCGGAAGTCAGAGTTGGTAGTGCTATTGATGCGAAAATGGGCATTGGTGCTAATCCAGTAGAGGGCTGCATTTAACAGTAGGTGAACAGGTCAATTCGGTTGTTTTCAAAGAGCAGATATTCTTAACTCGTTAAGTGTTATTGCAACAGAACACATTAGTTTGAGTCTTCAAAGTGACAGAAAAGCAGACCCTACAACAGGAACCATTGCTCTACAATTAGACGACACAATTAATAGAGCAGTTGTTGATAATCAGAGTTGTACTAGTACTGGTAGTATAACAGCAGAGGCACGTTAAATGTATGGAAGATTTAAACTTTCAGCATTCGTCAAGAATAAAGGAAACATGGAACGGAAACGATTATGATTTGGATATTAGACACGGTGATACAGACAGGTCAACTAATCTGATTGTAGAAACAATAGGAAGCACACCCGAAATATCTATTAGTGAAGCATCAGTCAATTTATTAAGTATCTTAGATATTACACATTCAAGAGTTTCAACAAGTGAAAGGGTCAAAATGGACAATCCAAACAGCGACAGGTTAATATTTTTGAGTATCAATGGTGCTGATATATGCGAAATTTCAAGCACGCGATTACATGTTAATGGAACTGCTATTGCAACATCAGACGCCAGACCAAAACAAAACAGAAAATAAATACGCGGTCGAACATGCTACGATATATCGTTAACTACATTAACCCTACAGACTTCTATTCTATTGGTGCAGAAGAAACGGAACTCGGTTTTATAGCACAAGACATACCTGATTCAAAGACGCCTAAACATTGGTCAAAACCTGCAATGAAAGATGCTGACGATGAGTATTTCAGACTTATTTATATCAATATGAACGTCGTATTATGGAATGCTGTATAAGAATGATGAACGACATGACGCACTTGAAAGGTGAGATTACGACATTGAAAAGTAAAGACAAGGGCGTTGAAAAGGGAGAAGGAACATATTATAAGGTTTCGTATATAATTTAATGGGTTCTAAATATTTCTAAATCATCCAAACCTACTAATACTGACTGTGTGAAACAAATAAACGACTTAGATGTTAAGGAGAAAAACAGACCTTCTAAAATTTGAAAGGAATAAAAGAATGTATTGAACGCATTGAAAGATAGAAGAAAGAACAAGCGATAAACTAGTTTATAAACTACAAACAAAGAGTTTATGTAATTGTTCATTGACTTAACTATGTTTCGAATAGATAATGCTACATCAGCATGTTAATTTTCAGTACTTTCAACTTTGTCTGTTTCCACTTCTTCATCTGTTCTACTACAAAAGACTCTTTTTCCTAAATGATACGTTCCAAAACCAACAAGCGATAACGGAACTATCACAGGCATAAACGGGGTTGACACACAATTCATTAGACGTTCCGTCGTTAATCCATCTCTTTTAAATTTTAGTATGTTTTATCATCACTTTACCACATTCACAAGTGTAAATCATTCCTCTACAAATAATACCAGTTTCCATTAATATATTACTACTAGTGATGATGATGATGATGATTGTGAGTGCCGTGTTGGACCAGCGGGGGCTGCACTTTCGGCACGAAGAAGGAGCACCTGGCACTGACGGACGACAGCGCCGTGCTTAAGCAAGTTGCGCGCACGCAACTTCTCCGTCTCGCCGGCCGCAGTAGGGGCCACCAGGCATGGGAGGGACCAGTCTCGCTCGCGACGCTGGAGACGGTGGCTTCAGCCACACAGCTGGTTCGAAGTCTGCCTGGCACTGGAGACATCCTCCACGCAGGCTGCTCGGCCCCAAGTAGGCGAAAGGAGGGGGAAACTTGGGCCTGGCTGTGGCGGTCGCCTTGGTCATGAGCTTAGAGAGGCGTGGAGGGGCTCAGACGCGGCAGGCCTGGTCCAGGACCCAGAAACCGCAGCCTAATGGATGGGATCATCTCAGTGCCTGCCTCAAAGCACTGCAGTCAGCAAGGACTTCGTTGCGCCTGGGCCCCTGGAGTTCAGCTCACGCGGTCATGAACGGTCGGGCTATCGTGCCTTGCTCTCTCTGCGGGGCTTCGACCCCAGATCTACAGCATGCTCTTTGGCTTTGTCGGGCACACAGCGCCGCACGTGTCAGCCCTAGGGTGGAGCTTGAGCGCCAGTTGTGCTGGCCGCTGCTGGCTGCGTGGCGGAAGCGTGTGGAGGCTGCGTGACCGTCCAGCAACCGGTGGAGATGGCCAGGCCTATAACGGCCCGAAGACCTGTAGGCATTGTCAACCTTCGTCTGGAGCTTGTCCAACTCTCTCAAGTTTTCAAGACGCTGCAGCCAACATGGCGACGGCTTGACAAACTTGATTTTGCGCTTGGTTACCAGGCATGAAGCAAGCCCAGCCCGCAGCTTTCTTGGCCTTAGTGAGGCTGCTCGCCAATAGACTAGAAGCGCTTTACAAACAGGTGCCGAGCAAGCGGGGTCAGAGCCTAACCTCTCCGACTTGGCCTCTCCTGGCAAGCTCGTTTTGCATCTGCCCATGCTCTTTAGCAGAACCGTTGACCGCGAAGTCGGCTTTAGACCGGTTCACAGGCCCCGAGTCTGTGCAGCTAATGCGTAGCAGAGCTTCACCAAGCGGGCCCGTGAGCCCCAAGGAGCTGGCCGGGTCAGAGCGAAGACCTCAGGGCTGCAAAAGTTATCGAGGTGAGATTCGGTTTTGACGTTTCCTGGCCTGACCCCAACCCAGCGCGACAAAACTTTTCAGGGACGAAATCGCTGAATGGCTGCGACTGCGACCTCCCCGTGGAGACAATCGAAAGCCTTTGAGAGGTCGCCCCACATTCTTAAACCCACGCCGAGGGTTTCGCTGGTTTTGTTCAAGCTCGACGAGCGGCTCTAGAGTCTAGAGAGCGGTGTGCACCCCCCTGCCCGGCAGACAACCGTGGACACTGTCTGGGAGGCGACGAACGATCCACTTTCCGACCCGACACTGATAGGCCTCAGAGAGTCAAGGGCTCATGCCGGCACACTTGCCGCCGTTGAGTGACGATAGTGTCTCTGTCCGCAAAGCTCCACTGATGAGCCTGTTCTGACTCTCCTGAGTCCTGAGGAGGGCCACACGGACGAAGTCTAAAAGTCTAAACCTCAGTTTCAGAGGATCAGACGGAAGTCTAAACCTCAGTTTCACAGGCGCGAAGGTGCGCAGTGCCTTGGCAGCACCAGTCTCCGGCACCTAAGCACTCTCACGAGGGTGCCGCGGCATACGTAAAGCTTCAGAAGCTCCCGCTGTGCAGTTTGTGTTGCTTCGTTTTATCGGCCATGCCAGGCGGTATTGCCAGGGATTGTCGTCAGTCAGGTACCTCCGGTCTCGTGCGAAGGCCCGGGCACTGGTATGCCTCTGAGCAAGTCCCGCTTTGCGCCTCCGCATCTAAGGCAGTGATGCAGCAGGGATCTGTGCCCTGGCACGCCGACAGCCAACCAGGCGAGACAAACGCGCCTGGTAAGACAGTTCTGTTCGGGGCGGGCTCCAAAAGGAAGGCTCTCAGCTCCTCGAAATCAAGCAGCTCTTGTCTCTTGCGCCTCATGGCGGTCTCCTCCGAGAAAGACTCGCAGCTGACGTAAGGGCCAGTTTTGTCGAAGGTTGTGCAGAGTCGTCGCCCGGGACTGCCTGCTGCCGACCGAAAGGTCTATCCAAAAGAAGCCACCCACGGTCGCACCACGCTCCAAGCACGTTTGCTCATCCACTTCTTGAAGACGTGAACCGACGAACCAGGCTTAGCAGCCCAGAGTCTATCACCAGCCGGCACAAAGCCTTGCCGTTCCATGGAAATTACTTTGGTGATTTTGCCCAGAAGCCCCGAGGGGACCACACAGTCCAAATGCAGAATGGCACCATCTGCCGCAGTAGCAGTAGCAAGAAGCTTGTCCGCCTCCGAGAGCAGGAGGAGCCGCCCAACCCAACCATAAGCAGCTTTGGAGAGGCAGCAGAAACGAAACGTGAGGCACGACTGAATCGCGGCCAGGCCAGCCAAGCAGTGCGTAACATGACTTGTCGTGCCTTCGCTGCCATTGCCATCAAAAGCCTGAGTGTTGCGGCGGTAGCTGCAAACAGTGCTGGCGCCCAGCACTTCGCATTCTGTCTGCTGCCACTCTTGCGGGAACTCAGCAAGCATCATGTCCTGAAAACGCTGGTACTTTGCACAGACTTCAGTCTGAGGCCCATGGCGAGGGACCAAGCTTGCCGATCGTCCATGTAAGCCGCCTGTAGGAGCTGTGGAGGCAAACCTGCGGAGTGAACTACGTGCTTGCATCCTGCATTGATCCAGTAACACAGCACTAGGGGAGCCGTAGGACAACCTTGCGGGGTGGCATCTAATGCCACGAGAGGCTCAGACGCCGTGGTGTCCTGCCACTGCACGTACCTTTGCTGAGCCGTCCAGGCCGAAGCCCAGAGACTGCACAAGCCCTCATCCCACCCTAACGACGTGAGAAAAGCTTTGCTGATTCCAGGAGACATACGATCGTAAGCTTGACTAAAGCCTGTCCTGCCTGCAAGAGCATAGCGGTTTCTTCAGCAGTCAGCCCGTTGAGACTACCGAAAACACACTTCGGGAGTCGTTTCCGACATCGTTGAAGCTCAGTAGTTCCCAACCACGCAGACGTGTTGACTCTCCAGAAAACACTCATGACAGTGATGGGTCTAGTGTGCTTCGCAGTGATGGCACTACCTTCAACTTTAGACGCTGTGCTTAAGCAGACCTGTCTGGCTTGAAGCATGTGCTTGGGGAGCTCCTTAGCCGAGTGCCAACGCTGGAACAGCCGGTGGCAGGTGGTTATGGCAGCCTCCGGAGCGTGTCTGAGCTCCCAACTCCAGCACAACCGATGCACTTCCGAAAAGCCTGAGTCAACCCACTCAAGTCGGGCCCAGGCCACAAAGCTCTCTTCAAGGACTCTGGCAGCTAGTTCTTTCTGTGCGCAGCTATGGCAGCAGCTGCCTTTTTTGGAGTGTCACAGAGCTGGTCGGTCCTGCGCGTCCTTAACTGTGAGGTGCCACTGCGAAGGCTTCGTAGCTTTGAACCAACGACTCAAGCTCTGTCTGACTGCGCCACCTTAGTTCGCGAGTCACGGAGGCGACGAGACTTGGCAGCTTCCTCCGAAGCCACGCGCTGGTCCGTGAGAGGCCGAATTTGCTCTTTAGTCCATGCCAGTTTTTGCATCGTGAGGTGCAAGTCAGCTGGCAGGCCAACCTTGGCCTGTACAGCCCGCAATTCCTGCTATCGGAGTGGACCTTGAGAGTTCAAAAGGAGCTTCCGCAACTGGTAGAGCCCCGCCAAACTTTTAGAGACCCGCACTTCGGCCATGCTTCTCACGGCCGGACCTGGTCCCCAGTTGTCGCGTGGGAAAGTTTGGTGTACAGCCAGGGCACCTTTGCAATTTGTTCGAGCCCCAGACCGCTTGAGGAGGCTGCGTGCCTCCTCCGCAAGTGTACCGGTGGGTTCGCTCAAACAGGCCTCGACGGCAGACTTGTAGGTGGCCGCCAACACAGCCATGTAGAGGTCCCACTCTTCTTGCACGTGAAAGTCCGAACAGCTCGCAAGGAGCGCGTCACGTCTTAGACCTGCCGCTGTCTGTGTCTGCTTGAACCAGGCTTCGTCCAGTTTTTGTCGCCACTGTTCAGAAGACAGACTTTCCGGCCTTCGCCAAGTAGGTTTGGGTTGAAGACGACCGCCATGAGTGCCAGTCTGCACATCCTCCCACCGAGCGGCGAGAAGGACGTGGTCACTCAGATGCACCTCTAGGTGTCTAAACCAGTGCAAGCACTCAGGCCTGTTGGTGCAGTACCAGTCCACCCAGCGGTCACTACTCCATCGCGTAGGTTTGCTGTCCGTAACCAGATGGCCACCAACTGCACTCCAAGCGTAGCTGATGTCACAGTCGTTGGGCTCACCGTTTGCGTCTCCCACACACAACCAACTTTCACGATTAGCACCAAGGCTGGTGTGGAAATCGCAAAGTAAATTGGCCGCGACGGAGTCATCGCCTGGCGGAGCGTAGTAGGTATAACTGACTTAATGAACGTGACTTTCTTGAAAATGCTTTATTGTCTGCAAAACCATCGACTATTATCAATATTGAAAATAACTTCTTGTGGTCGTTCTTCTTCTGATGTTCTATTACCTTATGTTGTTGCTTTATCACCTTGTCTACTTCTGAAGGATGTATTCATCAAAGAAGCCCTGTTCCTTTTCTGATCAACCTTCAACTCGTCCTGAACGTATCTGTTAACTGGCGTCCAATTACTATCAACGGACATTGACGGGCTCTAAATATAAACACGCTCAAAAACATTTCTATAGATGTCTAATTTTCATTGACTGCAGTAGAACTCCTTTACTTGAACCGCTCGGGCCGGTTATGATTTGTGAAAATGGCGATCTCGGCGCCACATCCGACTGTTTCAATTCATATTCCGTTACATTTACTGCTTTAACTATAAGTGTAACCATTATTAATAGTACATAGAAGTTCTATATTATCGTTAATAATGATATGCAGGATAAAATAACATATGCTGAATGTGAGGAAGTAAACAATGGCATAATGCCAGATAGATATCGTAGATGTTGCTATACGTTGTTAGAACTGTTAAAAACAATTTTTTTACTTGCGAACGACAAAGAAAAGCTAGTTAGCATAACTGTCAGAGAAACAACAGCGCTTGGCACGTAGATTAGGAAAAACATCTTTAATAGAGAGAAGAAAACAACAACCAACAAACATGGAATTAAAGTTGCTGAAGAAAGCATTGAGACATCCTCAGTAGGTTTGGGCAGAGGAATTACCCCACCCAGTCAACCGAGAACGCTAACATTAGAGCAAAGAATAGAAGCTTTGGAGGATAAGATAGATAAGACAAACAACAAAATAGAGCAGGTATAGACGCAGGTTTAAGCGTAGCATGTCATTAGACGAGAGGATAATTAGATTGGAGAAAGAAGTAGAAGAGTTGAAGACGCAGTTCGTAAGCAGTATGGATTAAATACATAGTTTGTTATATGGATTGCTTGCGCCCGAAAAATGTTGGATGACTGAAAGAAAAAATGTTAGAATACATAAGGCTAGATTGAGTGCTATTATCGGTTAACTAGAGGACTATTATCATCATGAAGAATATCACAAACGATTTAAAATGTTGTTTGAGTTTTGTCAGTTGGCAGAATTACTAAACTAGCCTAAAGATTTAATGATGTTAGTCGTTGACAGAGTGCCCCCAGATGCCAGTGCCTCGTGCGGTTTCCATAAGTGCAGCAACGGAGTGGTGTAATGGCCTTTAACTAGTTTGGGAGTGTTGCCCCGCACTTCATTTTGCTAGAAGGAACCCCATCCCTAAATATTCTCTTGCTTAATGAACTCAGTTATGAGAATATTGGTTTTATCAGTCGGACCATGCCTAAAGACTAGACTTCTTAACATGGTAAGATGGAGAAACGAGTATGTAAATCGTGTTGCGCAACAAAGGACGTAGAAGAGTTTGACGGCTTTAAGACTTGCAGTAGGTGCCGTGAAGCGAAAAGAAAATGTGACAAGAACCACCAAAATAGTCTAACCAAGAACGTAGAGAGGAAAGGGCAAAGGGGAGACAATTCTGCGAAGAATGCGGTCATAAAACAAAACAAGAAAACTGGGATGCTCATATTCATTATGCGTTACATCCGTATTCCGAACTAAATCTGTTGATGAAAAGTTATTTGAAGAATTAGGAATTTATGTAATTTAAGGAAAGAAGGCAAACTAAACGAAAAAATGCAAACATAAATTAAGGCACAATACGAAAAGCAGAAATGTGAAATACGCAAACTATTGAAGGAACAATTTCCTAATAAATTTGTTTGTGAGGAAGAACCAAAACCTGAACCTGAGCAATCTAAACCCATATTCAGAAAGTGCGCAATTACGTCCATCAATTACTAGTGAATGATGAGTTTTGGAAAACTCTTTTGTGCTATTCGGTAAGCATGAGGAAAAGTAATTGTTGAACTTTCTATTGACCAAGCATAAGCACAATGCAACTATAATCATCCTTAAACTGTTGGAGATGGATGGACCCGAAACTCTTGAAACCTCCGATCTCACCAGGGCTCTGCCAAACGCTGCTTTTCGTCAGGGGGGTGTAGGCAGACATTTCCTTTGAAGACATCATCCAACGGATCTGCCTTCCTTCCCCTTCCAACGCTTGTGCCGCTTGCATGTCGTCGTGCAACACAGTGAGCGGAAGGCTTACAAATTCAGATGTCTCAACATGTCTCAACGCACTTGTCAGATTCCTCTGTTTTGCTGCATGCCAATTGCCAGGCCAACTCCATTACCATCACACACTACGGAAATGCTGCGAACATAAAGTTTCCGTGCAACCTGAAACTAATGCCTGGCTCAGCCTCCCTTCCACAGAAATCCACAGAACGCGATGAAGGCCACTGTTGTTGGCAACAGCTCAACCGACATCACTGCCCGAAAAGGAGCCCCTTCAGCGAATAGCCGAGGTGATGCGTCTCGAGTGAGGCGCCGTTGATGCAAGTTTCCCATCCCCCGATGCCGACGAATCCAATCTGATTGAGATCGAGGGTCCACGGTACAATGCCCGCAAGCTCATCGGGGGACAATTTGACCGCAAATGCCCGTCAGCTTTTTTCCCCAGCCAGAAGATACTAGCCGATGTTACGTCCATGGTTGTGGCAGTGCTATTGCCTCTCCTCACAAATCAAGATTCTGGAAGCGAGACCCTGCGGAGCCTTCGGCGTCGTACTACGTTTAAACAAAATGCATCGACCGTCAGCGGTAAGTCGCAAATGGAGTGATGCATCACAATAAGTAAAGATGAATATCTGTCAGTCGCATGACCATGAGGACGCCCCAAACCGCCCGTGCAACCGGCATTGGGAGCAGCGTTGGACAAATGTGTGCCGCGCTGAGCAGCGGCATTCGATGTGCGATGCCGCGTGCACTGCACTTTGGCCCTGCGACTGTCATCGAAGATGTGTACAGTATGGATGCCGTTAGCGAATCTACTACCTCCAACCGTCGTGTTGACAAACAGAAGAGGGCACTTGGCCCACTGTTTGGGCGTCATCTTGCGAGCTTTGCCTTGTGCAGCTGCACCTGCCATGTCAAGGACTTAAAGATGGAACGAGGATGAGCGAGGAACGAGACTGAGACTTTTGTCGCTTTCTGCCTGCGGCCCTTCGAAGTCTGGAGCCCCTGGCGATCGGAGCCGAAGCCGAAGGCTTGGGCGGCGTAGGCGTAGGTCCTTTGCTGAGACATGGCCGCTACTGCCCTCGCTACGGCCCTCGCACTTACTGCGCCAGGGTTCGGAAGCGACCTTTACCTGAAGTGCCAAGGTGCCATGTATTGCGCCAGGCACCGCAAAGCAGGAGATGCTCCTGTGCAGAAGGCGACGAGGCATTGAGCAATACTCATTTCCGTGAAATCTGTCGAGGATTCGGCGTCTCTTGGGAAAAGCTTTCCTCCTTACCGGTGTACACCGGGCACACTGTCAGAGCAGTTGTTTGCTTTGTCTTGCATACGCCCCAGTTAACCGCCAAATGACCCAACACCCAATTGAGACAGATTTTGACTTGCAGGACCCGGGCTGGGTCGATGGTTCGCCTTGCCGGCGAAAGAAGTCTTTAGCGCATGCACGCGCCTGCAACGACTCTCTCCCTGTTGCGCTTTGGGGTCGCAACATGCATCGCACCCGCCAAAACACTTAAGTAATGCAGTTGTGCCTAACTTTGCACTTTATAGATTTGTAGTGCATACACGGTGCTTTTGCGGTCGAATATGGTCGAATGCACCCGATGACAAAGCTGCACAGCCTGTGGCTTGGGCAGCCTCAACCCCCAAAACAAAACTTCAGCCCACGTGTAGTGGACGGACGTTGTGCTCCACCGTGACCGTCTTGGTTGCGGTCAAAGTCGACTCGCCATCATGCAGTACCGCTGCAAAGCTCCGAGTGGGTACTACACTCTTCGGCTTTGGGGCTGGCACTCCTGGTTTCTGCGGGATGCTGTCGGGTTGCAGGGACTCTGCAGCATAGTTTGGGGGGATGGGCACTTTGTGGGCACGCTCCCCCCGGTTTCCCAGAACGCCACTTCGGCACTGCTCTACAAAGCAACAGCTGCTTGGCCGAGGCACGGTCGCGCAGCGATCAAATCATCTTACACTCGCCAAACGATGCTTCGTAACTTCGTGACAAAGAGCTACACTTGAAACGAATGGAACTAATGGCAAAGCCATGTTGCAGACAGCCAAGGTCCCACTAGAAGGCTGGAGTTGATTGCGGAAAGCAGCAACATGGCTTTCCGAACCAAGCTATGGGAGGAATGCGTCTAGAGATGTTTAGAACCTGACCTAATAACCCGCCTGAACCAAAAGCTTCTACTACCCCTCATATCGCACCCGTCCTGAATAGGAAGGGACTGCCGCAAAGTGCCAGCGTCCAGCTCAGAACAGGCCCCACTCGCCCGGCCCGTGACGACATGCCGCAGGCGTCTGCAGACACAAGATTGAGCTAATCGTATGTTCTTTGAGGTCGAAGAGACTCGAAGTCACATGCGAGTTTCTCACACTGCAAGCAGCCTGCTGGAGCTTCAAAGCCACCTTCGCGACATCGAGGGCATGCTGAGAGCCAACAGGACACGGCCACTCCAATGTGGGCAAGCTCCAAAGCCTGAGCACAGCAAAATGGGGCAAGCCAATGGGTAACGAACATCCCTTCACGACGATAAGTGCCGTAGAACAGTCTCAACACAGCTGGGAGGATTTGATGTCAGCTTTTTGGTCTTGACGCTCTCGCTCGCGCTGGCACGTAGTGCACCACCACAGCAGCAGGTCGCTGGAGCGTCAACCGTCTTTCCTGCCACGGACCTTGCTCGAGCTTGCGACCCTGTTTTCCGCACTTGTCATTGAGTTGCTGCTTTGCAAGCAGCTCCGTAAACACTGCCGACCACGCCTTGCCCTTCTTCTTCTTGCCTGTGCAGAAGCGCCAGCTCTGGCAGTTGCTGTCAGCGGACATGCATCATGCCGTGAGGACAGAAACGTGCCTGCCGCTGCGGCTCTTGGCTGCCAGTTGCCTTTCGGAACAGAAGAAACATGAAGAAACGCTGTAAAGGACCGTGGAGCTTTATGAGACCTTGCACTTCATCTTCTTCCTCAGACGCAGCCTGTGAGGCAGGTTTCCATCTCAAGCGCTGTGAAGCAGAACCAAGGCTGCCTTGGGCTTTTGGTGTCTGCCGCGCACCTGACGGTGCAACGGGTTCGCACATCTGGGAATCTGGGAATCACCAACACTTCACCTCTGGAGCTTCGTCTTCGGAGTCACCATCACGTCTTTCAACATCGAGCTGCGACAAGCCCCACCTTGAAGTCTGCAGCTTCCACAGCTGACAAGGCAAGACTGTGCTCGGGTCCTGCGCTCTTTCAGCCGTAGCAGCAAAGATCTTGCGCCAGCAGGCGGTAACGGCACCTGCTTCCTGAGGACAAATCGAATCAGTGCTGTCACAACAGCAGCCCTCCTTCTCAAGCTGCGAACTCCTACTTGCCCACCTTTCAACAGACTGGTAGTCGCCAGCAGTTTTTGCTTTGCAAACTTGGCATACCTGCGCCTGTGAGCGTGAAGCACCGGGAACATGGCGCATGGATTGAATCAAGCTGGCTCCGTCTCCTGCAGATCCTGTGGTCCGATCTCCACTCGTAGCATCACGCCACGATGCTCCCAGTGTGCAAACCTGGGCCACAAAGAGGTAAACTCAAGGAGCAACCGCAATCCAGAGCTGTGGTGAGCTGTGGATGAGGCTTTTGACCAGGGGTCAGATGACGCCTGCGAGTTGTAGACATTTGCACGATAGATGAGTTAAGTTCAGTGCAGATGCAAGCCTGCTATCCAGCCAAACGTCCAAGCCCTGCTGCGCAAGGCAGGCTTTGACATTCTCCGCGGCCTCGGCATTCCAAGCTACATCTCCTTTGTGAGAAGTTCTGTGCCCTGTCTGCGCCGGGCTTGGAGAAGGTCCAATTTGTCGTGCCGCCCGCGCCACACCACTGGGATTACAACCTCAAGCCGCTCCAGCCCATGTATGTCATGAGACGGGGCCTCTGCCTGAAGCCCCGGCTAAATCATGTTGTCGCTGCAGGTGCGTGATCCCTGTCGCTGTCACAGTGACACGGCACTGGAGAGCGGCATCCGAAAGCTGCTAACGCTCACCGAAAAACCTGAGCACATGCGTTCGCGCGTGATTGTGGAGAGGATTCCGTCTTCATGGAGCTGACACCGCGCTTCCCGTCTCGCTGCTTGAGTCAACTACTAGGTTACTAGGTCACAGAACAATGCATGCTTTGGGGCATTCCCACGTGCCACGCCCGGCTTGGACCTTGTGAAGGCGATCTCCGTTTCCCGGGATTGGGGCGAGCTTGCACTAGCAAGGGCGACATGTGCAACACGCACAGACAAACCGCAAGAGTGAAACACCTCCATCGAGAATGCTTCAGGGCACTGAGAACCAGACCTATTCATCATATTGCTTATGAGGACAACTCCGACATTGCTTGTCGACAGCTCTGTCATCAATTTTTGTGCTCCGTGTACGAACAAATACGTACATAAAACAAGACGTATAACAAGACCTATGTAGAAGAAATTGTGTTGGGGAAGGCATGCATTCATCCGACGTACAAGGGCTTTCAGAAGCTTCCAAGAGGTTGAGGGGGTTAACCTTTCAAAACGGTGTCGCCGAAGCATGCAACTGGCACCCAGGCCCTGCATCTGGAGATATGTCTGGAGTCTGCGCCGTTGGCGGGGTCCTTCTCCCCCAATGCCCGGACGACACCCAGCTGACGCACCGGCGCCCCGCGGACATCTTTATCCCTTGTCTGGGAGGAAACCCGTCTACAATGGAATTTGCCATCACAGGCCCGCAGCGACGGAGACCCTTGCCCAGGCTTCGGCTGAAGCGGTTAATTGCAGTGCCATGGGCCTCTCGTGGCCGAGACTACCGGTGGGTGCAAGGATGTTGAGCCTGGTTACGACTGCTGCAGGCGCTCGTGAGATCCCCGCCGCACTTGCGGCCACATGCTGCAAGAGATCGCCGTCACCATCCGGAGTTTCCGCGCGTGCGCCGGGCAGAGTTGCAAAAATGTTGCAAACCACTGGCAGCCTCAGCTGTGTCCTTCGGCGAAGGTTGTGCTGGAACCAGATGACATGAAAGGTGACTATACTTTGCGCGAGTAGAGCAGCATGGCCTTTGCACCCGGGGTGGCCCAAGCAAGCTGACACCGACTCCATTTATCATATTTGATCTGCAGGCTGGCATCAAGCTCGCCGCATCCGAGGTAGGCCGCTGGGGCGTCGGCGTGCTGCGGAGGCCCAGGCCTTGCTTGAGAAAGACTGCAGGCTGCTGGCTGCGACCTGCTGACGTAGATGCCAAGCCGTGGTCGAGGTCCGGCCCCCACAGGTGCCGAGCTGCTTGAGCGTACGGCACAGGAGCAAAGGCAGTGGCACGGGCGGTCGGTTGGCAGCTGGTAAGCGTGCCGGTTTTTCTGGATGCACGGACATACTCAGACTGCATTGAGGGCAGTGTGCGCTTGATCCACGCGGCACAACCCCAGCTATAGTGAGCCCCCCAATGTGCGTCGACGTGTTGCCGCCAAAGCCGGGCTTTGGTGCGATCGGAGCATGGGCATCCCGGTACTGGACAGAAGAGCCAACCCGGACCTGAGCATCGTGAGATATCGTGAGCCGGTGAGGCCTCCCGTGGCCTGTGGGACGGTATTTCACCTGCGAGAGGAGTGCCCGGGGCGCTCGATGGCGCTCTTGTGCAAGGGTGGCGCGATCCAGCCCCCGAGGCGAGCACGGACAAAAACCACGACTCAGGTTGGGCTTACGGCTCGGTTTGCACTTCTAGCAAAAGGACAGCTCGCGGATTCCGCTGCCGCAGCGGCACGAGTACCAGGTGCGTCAAAGCTGTGTACACTCCAGACCCGACCCGTGTGACCCAAAAACATGCCAGCTTCTCGTCTTTCTGCCGCATTGGCCTGAGCTGGTAAGGACGCGAGACGACCCGAGTCACAGCATAATTCGATTCGAGCTTGACATGAAGCGGTTCCGGGCACTAGTGGCTGAACTGAACTCTCAAACTCACCGAGTGATGAACGTTCCAGTGGCTGCCGAGAGGCTTCCCATTTCTGCTTTTTGCTGCTCTTCGAGCTTTTCGACTTGCTGACAGCTCCATGTTGTGCCTTAAAAAGCTCATGCCCAGTGCAAGTCTGCAATGGCACGAGCACCAAAGGTGCCTTCAGCTCATGGGTTGCGCTTTTTATTTCAGCCTTTGACTTGCCTTCACTGCGAAGCCTGTTGCCGGGATGAAGCATGCACTCTCACGCACTGCGTGTGGCTGCTGGTGGCGGCGGCGCCTGAGAACGAGCTGTTGAATGTCCCTCTGCAGGGCCCGCCGGAGACGCTCAGCAGCATCAGCATCTTTCTCAGCTGGCTTCTCGACAGCTTCGATCTCGACGGTTTCGCTTTTGCTTTCCTGTCTTTTCCTCTTCTTGCTCTTGAAATCTGGTTTCTGCGGTGCCGAAACCTGGACTTCCTCACCGGTCTCCGGAGTCTCCTGCTTCTTTTTGGGCTTCTTGACCATGGCAAGACCGGATGAAACAAGAAGCACTAGTGCCGTTAGCAGTGATGTTAGCGGATGTAAGTGGGCTTTCGCTTGCAACGTCTGCAATGGCAAGCTCTGAACTACGTCAGCATGTCTTCGTGCGCCTGAATTCAGGGAGATGCTTCATCAGAACGATTTCCGAAAGGTGATCTGCGTTCCTGATTCCTTGCTGCTGATGCAGCCTGTCCCGATTTTACGTAGGGCTGCATATCTGGAGGCCCGGTCTTGGTACTACACGAGCTCTCTAGCATCTGCACCAGGCGTGCATGCAGCAATATCCTCGGCTGCTGATGCCGAAACATCGCCAGCGTAGATTCCTTGTATACATCATGCCCCGAGGATACTGCTCGACGTGCCTGTGATGTGGCCATAGCGCCAGAAAAAAGTGTCTGTACAGAGTGCGGTGTGGTTGTATTATAGCCTCCGCAGCATGTGCAAGATCCAAGACTCCAAGATCCGTTGATCTACGTGCGCTGTCACTCTGGCAACATTCGGCCTGAGTCGGAGATGGAAGGTGGAAACTTCACAGACCAACGGACTTGTCGCGGCCTTCTTCGTCATCGCCGGTGAGAACGCCCATCACGCGGCTAGAGGCCGGCGTGAGCTCGTAAATCGAGTCGAACTGAGCAATACCAACAAAAAGGGTTTCTGCATGATTCTGCGCACGCCGGGCGTTCTGAAACTGGGGATGTTGTGTTTCTTGCCTGCTTTTCTGAGTCGTTGAGCAACGATCCAAACGCCACTGCCTGGGCTTCTGACAAGAGCTGAGAACATCCCTACACGTTCCCACAGTCCTCCAACACCAATCTGCGCAGGTCGTCGCTGGTGATTCGAAGGGATTCCACCTCATGAAACACATGCCATGATTAACACCTTCACGGCGGCTGAATCTCTAAGATCATCAGTCGCTCGCCTCCTTGGATTTTATCGCCTTCTCCAGCTTCATTGTCGCTTCTTCTGGTGAGTTGACCTCTGCACGCTTGCTCTCACTGGCACGACGATGTGCCCGGGAGATGCAATCAGGACTCCGAGCCATGCCCAGTGCATTGACCAACTTCTCTTTCAAAGCACGGAGATCGCCAAAAAGCGCAGTGACCTTGTGGCGTGGCAATGGGTGGGTGGGACTGACGGAGGCGAAGGTTCTCGGTCAATGAATGGAAATGTGCACAAAATCAGCAGGCTCAACCGAAGTGTAATTCATGATGCTCTTTTTGCGTGAGGGTTTGGTATTGATGATATGTTGTAGATGCTCACCTCACCGAGCGTGTTGTTGATATAGTTGTGGTATTGCCAATGCAGAACTCACACGCGCAATTGTACACAATGTAGAGCGGCGCACCCTTCCTTTTCTCACTCGCCTTGGCTGACGTTGAGTCTTTGCAG